TTTTCCCCGAAATATGGAGACACTCCTTTATGTTCCCTGTCCATAAGAAGGGCGACAAACGTGACGTGACAAATTATCGTGGCATAACAAGTCTATCTGCAGCTTCAAAATTATTCGAGATCATTGTGAACGATGCTATCTTCTTTCATGTCAAGAGCTACATTTCAGCAACGCAACACGGATTTATGCCAGGACGCTCAGTTACATCAAATTTGCTGGAGTTCACCTCAACATGTATAAATCACTTGGAAAATAGGGCTCAAGTTGATACCGTTTATACCGATCTGAAAGCGGCATTCGATTGCATCGATCATGGTATTCTTCTTCGGAAAATGTCTCGCCTGGGAATTTCGGATGGTTTGGTTGATTGGCTGAAATCATATCTTTCCAACAGAACACTTCGTGTCAAGCTGGGTTCGTGCACTTCATCACCATTTGCTGCAACCTCCGGTGTTCCCCAGGGCAGCAATTTAGGACCATTGCTGTTCACAATCTTCTTCAACGATGTGACGCTCCTCTTGCCGAGTGGTTGTGTGCTCATATACGCCGATGATCTCAAACTATACATTGTTGTCAAGAACGTCGAGGATTGCCGTCAGCTCCAAGCAATGTTAGACCAATTTGTTGATTGGTGCCGCTTAAACAAGCTTTCCGTCAGTATATCAAAATGTGTGGTCATGACATTTAATCGCACAAGAACGCCAATCGTATTCGATTACTCAATTGATGGATTTGTACTAGAAAGAGTAGAACAAGTAAGCGACCTAGGTGTAATGCTGAACCCTAAACTTACGTTTGACTTACACCGTTCAATGGTAATCACTAAGGCTAATCGTCAGCTTGGTTTTATATCAAGAATCTCAAGAGATTTTTCGGATCCGTACTGTTTAAAAGCACTGTACTGTTCACTCGTTCGTCCGATTATCGAGACTGCATCTGTTGTTTGGACTCCCTACCAACTTTCCTGGAACATCAGAATAGAACGTATCCAAAAAACATTCATTCGTCGAGCATTAAGACAACTACCTTGGAGAGATCCACTAAACTTACCTCCGTATGCTGAGAGATGTCGCTTGCTAAGCATGGACACGTTACAACGACGGCGACAAATTCAACAGGCAACATTCGTCGCGAAGTTATTAAGTGGTGAAATTGACTCTACCCACTTACTCTCTTGCTTGAACTTTCGTGCGCCAAGCAGACTTCTACGCTCAACGTTCCTATTGCGTCAAGACTCACACCGCTCTTCTTTTGGACAACATGAACCTGTTACGAGTATGATTCGCACGTTTTCTACAGTTGAAGAGTTGTTCGAGTTTGGGGAACCTGCTGCTCAATTCCAGAGACGTATTATTAACTCCAGATACATTTAGTATTTGTTATGGCTTCTGGTTCATTAAGACTTATTGTCAGATGGATGTATTAAATAAAAATAAATAAATAAATAACCACTGCTATGCAAACAGATTTCGCGCTAATTCTACCCTTTTTCTTATCTAGCGTCCAAAACGTCAAATACAACAGGGAAAGGTTTTGCAACTGTGTTATTGACGAAATAGAAAGTCGATGAAGAGAATCGATTAAAGCAGATAGGACCATTTGAAATGTTCATCGAGAAATCATTGATATAATTGGTGATTTCTACTCGATGGGCGATTTTGACGAAGTAGCGCTCTTCCCTATTTTCTATTGGTTTTTTTTCCATTGGGCCATTTTTTAATTTAGAAATTTGTCAATTTGTCAATTTTTTAATTCGTCAAATGCGTTTAATTAAAAATGGCGCAATTGAAAAATGGCCAAATTGGATCAATGACTATTTGAAAATTTTCCCCTTTTAAAAAATTGAAAATTGAAAATATTTGAAAATTGAAAATTAAAAATTAAATTTGAAAATTTATTTATTGAAAATTGATCATTGATCAATTGAATAAGGGCTAATTGGGTTCTTTTTTTTTAATATATCGGTTATTATACATCATTTGAAAGAGTTTCGTTTTCTGAGCACAGCGATATTTTTTTCGCTCCCATAGACTTTTGTCTCGATTTTTTTGACACAAAATTTGTTTGAGGACAGCTCACTCCCATTTAAAGCCCAATTGAAGGGTGCTTAAATGGTTATTTTTGCTAATAATAATGCAGTAATTTTATAAAATGTTGGATTTCAGTTCCATTTGCAGTGCAGATTATGAATATGCATTTACATCAATACCCCTAAACAACTCAATTGGGATGTTTAGGGGTATTGAGGTAAGTACATATTCGTTATCTGCATTAAAAATGGAACCGAAATCCAAAATTTCATCAATTTTGGTACACTGGAACTATTTTAAATAAGTACGATTACATTAGAACTGGGGCCTCCCTTAACTCAGTCGGTAAAGGCGCAGCTACAAAGCAAGACCATGCTGGAGGTGGCTGGGTTCAATTCCCGGTCCGGTCTAGGAATTTTTCGGGTTGGAAAATTTCTCGACTTCCCTGGGCATAGAAGTATGATTGGACTTGCCACACAATTATACCAATGCAAAAATGGTACAGGCATCGAAAGCTCTCAATTAATAACTGTGGAAGTGCATCTAGAACACTAAGTTGAGAGCACGCAATAAGCTAATATGCGATAGGCAATAAGCTTGAAATGCGAAGAAGAAGAAGAAGAAGACATTAGAAAAAATCACCATCTTAGCGCCCCTTGGTGAGACTTTGACTGGGAGCGAGCTGTCAACGAATATATTTAGTGTCAACGATCAAAAATTTAAATTTTGATTTAAAAATCGAGATGAATGTCTACGGGATCGATAAAAATATTGTTGTGCTCAGAAAACAAAGTTTTATCAGATGATGTATAAAAATCGATATGTTTTTCGAAGTTAAACAGCTCAATTAGCCATTCCATAGTAAAACGACATAGTAGTTCTCAGAACTTTGTAAAAATTTGTTGTTTTGTTCATTATAGCAAAATATAAAACTTTAGTTTTTGTCGATAGGGTGACCATTTCTGTGTAAGGTTGGTTCAAAAAATCGATTTTTTTTTTTCAAAAATTCATAACTTTTGAGCCAATAGTACGATTTCAAAGATAAAAATATAAGATGAAAGGTAATTGAAAATCCAAAACTACATAACTTCAAAAAATATATTACTCAAAATCGAAAAAAATAACACCGCTGAGTTTTTGATCTGTCTACAATCCATGAAAACCATAAAAAACAAATACAATCAATGTTGTTCATACAGAATCACTTTTTTAATATCTTTATATTTTTTTCAATTTTTTTCATTCGATATTTTGATCTTTGAAATCAACCCAGTTGTTCAATAGTTATGAATTTTTGAAAATAGTCATTTTTGAAAAGAAAGACTGTGTTGGACCACCTTAACATATTTTTTATGTAATTTAGGATTCTTCGTAAAAGTTTAAAATTTTTTGCAAAAGTTCACATCACTTGGAAAATCAGTTGAGATAGTTCTTGATGAAAATTTCTTATTTAAAAAGTTACTCTAAACTTTGAGCTTGGCGTTGGCATTTTTTATTCGTAATTTCTCGTAATGATCGTGAAATTGATAGAAATTGTCCCACATTTATAATCCCCCTTAAAGCATGACATACTTAATTGATAGTCCCATAGACTCGTTTTTGTAATTTGTATCGGACCGTACACACTCGCCAACCCCGTAGATTGACCATTTCTTAGGGAAATTTTTGGTAGAGTGAACAAAAATATGGTCACGGTGTAAATAAATAATCCAGGATGAAGTTCTACATACATTTACTTCTACTGAAAACAAAATCAATGGGGTTTGGAAATACTTCATGTTATGAAACTCATATGGGCCAGAAACAATATCTACAAAGAGCTTCATCCAACATTAATGCCCTCGAGTTCCATTACAACTGATGTAAAATAAATTCCACGGGTCTGTCGGAAGATCGATGACAATGGAGGGTATTCCGAATCGAAATGGATTATGACGAATCAGTGCTGCACTCTACTTGCATCCTACTATGTGCCCCATCCTGTCTCCCATCCAAAAACGAATTTGGCGAGTGGGTTAGTGTGCGAGAATGTTGTGCCACAACGCTGGCCACATGTGATTCGGCCAATGCGACTGGACAACTGATAGTTTCAGTCCAGTTTGTTTTTCTGAGTGTGCATTTCATGAAATGAAAAATGTTTGCTTTTCGCAGTTTTTCACCTGATTTCATATCGAAATATTATTTTCTATCAGCCTCCCGCACATTTTTTTTTTTCCTTTCTCGTTCATCTAGGTGTACTGAAAGGCTATGATATCCACTTGAAAACACATTTTTGATTCAAGGTACGGAGGGTCAAATGGCACATACCATCGGAAAATGTCTGTGTGTGTGTTTGTGACCTGACCTTTCTCGTCGATGACTGATTTGAGTGTAACTTGTTCCAGTTTGTGTGTTTCTGGTTCCCACAAATAGAACGTTATTGAATTTGTATGAACAAAATAGTGATAAGTTGCGATGAAATAGTTATACCAACTCACCTTTCTCGGCGACGACTTTTCCGATTTGATTTCAACTTATTGAATTTAATCTCTATCGGACGTTCGGTTCCGGAGATATGGCCGAAACCCTGATTAATCTACTAATCGTTGACAAGCGCATTTCTCGAGTAATATTAAAGAGCTTGATTTAATATTCTCATTGGACATTCAGAACATGAATCTTTTTAATGCTACACAAAAAAGGCACTCTTCACCGATAGGTGAATTAATAAGGTTTTTTTTTTATTTTGTCCGCCAAATCAGTCCCGAATGCTTCAACCGAATCAGGCCGTCTAGAACCGGCATTGTTTTTTTTCTAACGTGTGAACTGAATAATGGATGGAATCATACAGGTTTTTCAATTTAAATCGATTCGGTACTTCCTGGAACATCCACGCAGATGCATACGACCTATTTCCTCGAACTCAAATGCAAAAGTAACTTAACTCCTCTGACCGCCTTTTTCCATTATCCGTTTCATTTTCATTTTCAGGACCAGGATACGCTTTCGTTCTCAGTGACCATCAAGGACCGCGTCAGCTCAGCGGGCATCGATTCGGAGAACGACAACGTGGTGAACGTTCCAATCACGATAATCGTCCTGGACGAGAATGACAATCCGCCGGAATTCCGCAATGTAAGTATTTCATCAAAGTCGATAATCGATTGATCAAAAAGAACATTCCACCGCACATACACACATACACACAGCTCATTTTGATTGATCAGTTGGTTTGAGGGCGCGCGACCAAATCAATTATTTCTGAATCGTCCCGTTACCCCATTCGTGGATCGTTGTTGAAAGTAACAATTAAAATCATCCCCACGTCCATCATTTTGGCACCAATTAAGCCCTGCTCGGCCCGACCTGGCAGAAACGCAAACGAGCCATTTCCGGAGAATCTTCAACCCATCTACATCGGAACCAAAACCAATTCTCCGACCGACGGTTTGCCGCTGGCAGGAAGTAATTTTTCAATTTCGCTGCTTTCCGATGAAGGGGGGCTGGCGGATGGAAGGATTCTGGCGAGTACTATTTAATTTGCTCGTTCCTAATTGTTATTCAAATGATGTAATCCTGCGGACTTTTTGCAAGGGGTTCTCCCGCGAGGTGATTCTTCTCAGCTCTGCAGCACTGCTCACGCCGTAATGTTTGCTTCCGGATGCTGAAAATGATGAAGAGCATACCGGCTCCGGTGGATGATGTGCTAGGGATGGTCGAAAATTTGGGCCCAAGTGTTGGTCTGCAGACTACAGACCTCAGTCCTCAGTTCTCAGATTCAGCTGAACCCTCAAGCAAGAGTTACCTAGCTGTAGTTCAGATTTGGGAAACTTCCGGTCATCCCTAGCCATCCAAACCAAAAGCACCGCAATACCAATCAAACACCCCTTTGCAATCCTTTGGTATCAGAGGGCACTCGCTCATGTTCCATAACCACGGAAAATGTTTCACTTTCCGGTTCACTTTGGTCTGATCCGTGATTCACAGGGCACTGTTGGTGGAGGCGGAACTGCTGCGGTCCTGTTTTTGCAATGAAATGAACTTCCTACCGACCAATCCTGATTAATCATCCCGTAAAACTTTTCCCGATCCCCTGGCCCGGCCAAATTCAAACAAGCAGAACACACGGAACATTATTTGGCCGCGCGCAGTGGTTTTCTAATTTTTGCTTTCATACTGGGAAATACGAGATATTCCCTAAATTCGGACTCGTAGCTATGAACTGTGCCGGAAGTAGGTCCCGGTTCCATCCTACGTGTAATGCTAGCTGATGATGTCCAATCCTTTGTTCCGACAGACCGACAGGACACGACCCCGATGATGTCGTTGTGAGAAATCTTTGCAGACAAACTTTCTCCATTTATTTTTTACGCTCCGATGTTCAATCCCGTATGGCCGGTCAAGCCCGATAGTGCGTTGGACGTCGTCGTAATTTGAAAACTAATTTTAGTTGGTGGAGAATTTTCCATGCACTCTCGCATCGGCACGACAAAATGTCTTGAGCTTCTTGAATAATGGCACATCATCGGCCGGAGTGGAAAATGTGCAACGGTGGTTAGCTTCTTGTCGGCCGTTAATCCGGCAGCGAACTATTAATGAGTTTGAGATTCTTTGTTTGTTGTGATGCTAGGCTTTCGAAGCGGAATAAGGTTGTCGTTGTTTTAAAAGGGCCTCGAACTGCTGAACTATTGTTCTAGAGTATTGCTTATAATCACAATGTTCAATTTTCAAATGGTCCATTTTCAATTGGTTAATTTTTCAGTTGGGCCAATTTTCCATTGGGTTATTTATCAATTGGGCCATTTTACAAATGGGACGTTTTCAATTGGGCCATTTTCCATTCGGACATTTTTCAATTGAACCATTTGGGTGGAATTTCAATTTGGCCATTTTTTAATTGAGCCATTATTCATTTTGGCCTTTATTCAATTGGGCCGTTTTTCATTTCAGCCACTTTGCAATCTAGTCATTTTTCAAATGAGTCATTTCTCAATTAGGCCTTCAATTTGCCATTTTTAAATTTATCCATTTTTCAAATGGGACATTTTTCAATTGGACCATTTTTAAATTGGGCAATTTTCCAATTGGGCCATTTTACTATTGGGTTAGTTCTTATATGAGTAATTTTTCAATTAGACCTTCAATTGTACTATTTTCCAATTGGGCCTTTTTCAATCGACTTATTTTGGAGTTTGGCCAATTTTCGATTGGGCTATTTATAATTGGGCCATTTGAATTGGGTTATTTTTCCATTGCACCATTTTTCAAATGGGACGTTTTAAATTGGGCCATTTTTCAATTGGAACATTTTTGTCAATTTTTCAATTGAACCATTTTTAAATTGGGCGGAATTTTTGGCCATTTTTCAATTGAGCCATTATTCATTTTGGCCTTTATTCCATTGGGCCGTTTTCCAATTCAGCCACTTTGCAATTGGGTCATTTTTTAAATGAGTCATTTCTCAATTAGGCCTTTAATTTGTCATTTTTATATTTAGCCATTTTTCAAATTGGACGTTTTTCAATTGGGCCATTTTCCAATTCAACCACTTTTCAATTAGGCAATTTTACTATTGGGTTATTTTTCATATGAGTAGTTTTCTAATTAGGCCTTCAATTGTATCATTTTCCAACTGGGCCTTTTCCAATTGGGTCATTTTTCAAATCAGCCATTCTTCAATTGGGCCATTTTGCAGTCTGGCCATTTTCCAATTTGACAATTTTGCAATGGGAACAATTTCCATTTTTTTGTTGGGCCATTTGCGGTTGGGCAATTTTCAATTCAAGAATTTTTCAATTTGATCATTTTGCAATTGGTACATTTTAAAATAGGGCCATTCTGCAACTATGCCGTTTTTCAATTAGTCCATTTATAAATTGGGGTATTTTTCAATTGGGTAATTTTTTTTCAATTGAGCCATTTTTCAATTAGGCAATTTTGCAATTGGGCCATTTTCTAGTTGGGATATTTTTCAATAGGGAAATTTTTCAATTGGGCCTGAATTCAATAGGGTCGTTTTCCATTTCGGCCACTATGCAATTGGGCCATTTTTCAAATGAGTAATTTTTCAATTAGGCTATTTTTAAATCAGGACATTTTTAAAATGGGGCATTTTTAAATTGCATCATTTTTCATTGAACCATTTTTAAATTGGGTGGTATTTCAATCTGGCCATTTATTAATTGAGCCATTATTCATTTGGCCGTTATTCAATTGTGCCGTTTTTCAATTCAGCCACTTTGCATTCAAGCCATTTTTCAAAAGAGTCATTTCTCAATTAAGCCTTCAATTTGCCATTTTTAAAGTTAGCCATATTTCAAATGCGATATTTTTCAAATGGACCATTGTTAAATTGGACCAAATTTAAATTGGACCATTTTCCAATTCAACCACTTCTCAATTGGGCTATTTTTTTATTGGGTCATTTTTCATATGAGTAATTATTCAATTGGGCCATTTTCAAATTAGACCTTTTCAAATTGGGTCATTTTTCTTGGCGGGCTGGCGAATTTGACAATTTTTGCAATGTGGACAATTTTAAATTTGGTCATTTTCCAACCCCGAAGTTTTTCAAATCAGATATTTTTAGATTGGGGCATTTTTCAATTGTATCATTTTTTAAAAGAGCCATTTTTTAATTGGGCCATTGGGTCATTTTTCAATTGGGCAGCTAAGCAATTGGGAAATTTTGCAATTCGGTCATTTTGCAATTGGAACATTATAAAATAGGTCCATTCTGCAACTATGCCATTTTTCAATTGGTCCATTTATCTATTGGGCCAGTTTTTAAATGAGAAATTTTTCAATTGAGCCATTTTTTCAATTGAGCCATTTTTTCAATTGAGCCATTTTTCAACTGAGCCCTTTTCCAGTTGGGATATTTTTTAGTAGGGCAATTTTTAAATTTGGCCTTTATTGAATTGAACCGTTTTCCATTTGGCCGCTTTGCAATTGGGCCATTTTTTCAAATGAGTAATTTTTCAATTAGGCTATTTTTAAATCGGGACATTTTTAAATTGGGGCATTTTTAAATTGCATCAATTTTCATTGAACCATTTTTAAATTGGGTGGTATTTCAATCTGGCCATTTATCAATTGAGCCATTATTCATTTGGCCATTTTTCCAATTAGTCCATTTATAAATTGGGGTATTTTTCAATTGGGTCATTTTTTTCAATTGAGCCATATTTTTAATTAGGCTATTTTGCAATTGGGTCATTTTCTAGTTGGGAGATTTTTCAATAGAGCAATTTTTCAATTGGGCCTTAATTAAATAGGGTCGTTTACCATTTCAGCCACTTTGAAATTGGGTCATTTTTCAAATGGGTAATTTTTCAAGTAGGCTATTTTTAAATTGGGACATTTTTAAATTGGAGCATTTTTAAATTGCATCATTTTTCATTGAACCATTTTTAAATTGGGTGGTATTTCAATCTGGCCATTTATTTATTGAGCCATTATTCATTTGGCCTTTATTAAATTGTACCGTTTTCCAATTCAGCCACTTTGCATTCAAGCCATTTTTCAAATGAGTCATTTCTCAATTAAGCCTTCAATTTGCCATTTTAAAATTTAGCAATTTTTTAAATGGTATATTTTTCAAATGGACCATTGTTAAATAGGACCATATTTCAATTGGGCCATTTTCCAATTCAACCACTTCTCAATTTTTCCATTTTTTTATTGGGTCATTTTTCATATGAGTAATTTTTCAATTAGGCCATTTTCAAATAAGACCTTTTTCAATTGGGTCATTTTTCAAATCAGTCATTTTTCAATTGGCCTATTTTGCAAACTGGTGAATTTGGCAATTTTGCAATGGGGACAATTTTCACTTGGGTAATTTTCCAACCCCGCAGTTTTTCAAATCAGATATTTTTCAATTGGGGCATTTTTCAATTGAATTATTTTTTAAAAGAGCCATTTTTAGATTGGGCCATTTGCAGTGGGGTCATTTTCCAATTGAGTAGCTAGGCAATTGGGAAATTTTGCAATTCGGTTATTTTGCAATTGGAACATTATAAAATAGGTCCATTCTGCAATTATACCATTTTTCAATTGGTCCATTTATCTATTGAGCCAGTTTTTAAATGAGAAATTTTTCAATTGAGCAATTTTTTACAATTGAGCCCTTT